CTGAATGATTAGATACTTGGACAATGTACCATAAATGCCTTTGATATTCCATTTCAGGCTGTGAGCCTTCATCTAACCTGAAAGTCACTCTTTCTGAAGGCTAATGCCTTAATAAAAATAAATGGCTTAAGTTAACCTGATGCTTATTATAGCTATGGCCTGCACAGTTATAACTTTGTGTTGAGGAGTGGAATACTGACCATTAAAGGAGAAATATTTTTCTAAGGGAAATCATATGTTATTTCCATCCATCAAAGGGCTAAAGTATAGTGTCCATTTCATCAGGAAGGAGTGTTAACTTTTAACATGATCACAATTCACTGAGTGACCCTATGGTAACATCCTATAATTCAAGGCAAGTTAATAAAATGGGAGGAGAATAAAAACTTAAACCCCATGAACCACTTTCATACTATCACCTTTCAACTTGTTTTTCATATACCTCACAGTATGCACATGTCTAGATACACATGCAAGCTAGATCTACCTGTAAAAAGTAGCAGTGATTGAAGTCATTACTCAACTAATTCAAGCTTAATATTTCACCCCATTTCAACTGCTTAAAAACTGCTTGAATTATTCACAGGCCCAAAAATATAGGAATACCATTTCTAATATCATTGTCTGATTAACATATCTCTCTCTCTCCACACACACACACACACACACACACACACACACACACAAAATCAGCTAATTCCAGTGCTATTTAAAATGCTTAAGTGCAGTGCTACCCAAAAAGACTTTCTGCAATGATGAAAATATCCTATATCTGCACTGCCATATATTGGCCACATGAAATATGGCTAGTAACTGAAGAACAAAATTTTAAATTTTATTTTATTACAATTGATTTAAATAGCCACACATGAATAGTGACTACCATGTTGGAAACCTCAGCTCTATATTATAGATAATGGATAAAAGTTTGCAAATTCTTCTTAAAAGACAGTATAATCATTATCTAAACATGATAAAAATGTAAACTATGAACAGATTTCATATATGAATATAAAGGCAAAAAATAAATTATATAATAAATATAACACTAGCAAATATAATCTCACACGCATTAGAGGAATAGCATATACTAGAAATTCTGGATGGTTCATAATGGAAATCTATTAATATCATCCATTTATTTTTACAGATCTAAAGAGAAAACTTAGACTAGGCCATTGGATAGGCATTTGTTAAATCAAAAATCCATTCTTGATTAAAAAACTCTTAACGAGATAGGACTAAGTTGACACTTCTGACATTATATATTTTACAACATGATAAAATATATCTCAACCTGGAAGACTACATCGGGAAATAATAAAACAGAGAAATGATAAAAACAATTCCATTAAATTGAGGATGTTCCTATTAAATACACAAGGAAGAGAAATACGTTCACTGTAACCACAATTACTTTAGTTTATTCTGGAGATTCCAACCAATGAAATTAGATAACAGAAAAAAGGATGTCTAACATTTGAAAGAGGTAAGTTATCCTTGATTGTGGGCATTATTAATATAGTTCTGAAATACTAATATAAATAATCACAAATACTACAAAGTAGCGGTTAAGAGCACGGACTCTGGAGTCCTGCTGCTGGTTCAATTGCTGGCTCTATTAGTAAGCAGCAGTGTGAACTTGGGCAAATACTTAAACTCTCTGTGCTCACTTCCAACTCTGTAAAATGAGGACCATAAAATTATTTATTATGGGATTACTATCTTTTAAAGTGAAAGTAGGTAAATATAAAGAGAGAGTGAGAGAGCTCTTAGAACATGCCTGTAGCATATAATAAATTTTTATATAAAATAAAAACATTATTATGATTACGATGATAACAATGAGGGCATTAATAATATATAAAAATACCACAATCTAAACTTTCAAATATGAAAAAAAGAATTTAAATTAGCAACATAATGATTAAATATCTAGACATAAACTGAAGAAAAATGCACAATATTAATAAATACTGAAAAATTCTACTGGCAATAAAAAGAAGAGTTGAATAGAGGAAAACATATTATACTTGAATAGGAAGACTCAACATCATAAGGTTACAGATTTCCCCTAAATTATCCTATAAGTTTAAAAACTCATATAATGATTCTAAGTTCATACAAAAATAAACATAAAAAGAGTAAAAATAGAGCAATAAAGGAAGACAGCATGAACAGCCAGGAGACATTATAACTCTAGAATTCGAAAAACAATATAGTGATGGGATATGAATTGAGAGCTAGAAAAATGGTACAGTTTAGAGTGTACAGAAATAGAAGCAAGTATATATGGGTATTTAACATATGTTAAATCGGGATACTGCATATGCGGGGAAGATTATTTAATAAATGCCAGTTATAAAAATGGTAGGCCATCTAAAAAAAAATAATGTTAGTTCTCTACTTCATTCTTTACACTGAAATAAGTTCTCTGCAGATTAAAGATTTAATGACAAAAAATAAATTTAAAAAGTCGAGGGTGAAAACATGAATGCTCTTCAGTAGTCTTGGGATATAGAAAATCTTATCATTGAAATAACAAAACCACTATGAGATCACACCTCACACCTGTTAGGATGGCTTATCATCCAAAAAACAAGAGCTAACAAGTGTTGGTGAGGGTATGGAGAAAAAGGAATTCTAGTACATAATTGGTGGGAATGTAGATGGGTGTAGCCATTATGGAAAACCAGTATGGAAGTTCCTTAAGAAATAAAAAACAGAACTACCATTTATGATTTGCCAATCCCTCTTCTGAGTATACACTTAAAAGAGATAAAATCACCACCTTGGAAAGATAGCCACACTCACATGTTAATTGTGGCATTATTCACAATAATCAAGATAGGGAAGGAACCTAAGTGTCCCTGTGTCCATTGAAGGACACACAGATAAAGAAAATGTATACATACACATATACAATGGATTATTATGATTTACCCTCAGAAAAGGAGATCCTGATATTTGCCACAACATGGGTAGGCCTGGAAGACATCATGTTAAGTGAAATAAGCAAGACACAGAAAGAAAAATACTGAGTGGTCTCACCTATACATGGAATCTAACTTTTAAGAAAGGTCAAATATCCAGAGATAGAGATAAAACCAGTGGTTACTGGGATGGGGGAGCGGAGCGAAAATAGGGGAGACTTAGGTCAAGGGATACAAAGTAGCAGAATGAGGGATGAGCAAGTCTAGAGATCTAATGCACAATGACTACAGCCAAAAAATTGTATCATATTAGAAATTTCTTCTAAATAAGTAGATTTTACCTGCTCTTGTCACCAAAAAACTATGTGAGACAATAGATATGTCAACTTGCTTTACCATTTTACTGTCTATATGACTCCCAAAACCTTGTGTTGTAAACTTCAATTATACATAACATTTTTTTTTAAAAGATTAATACGCCAGGTGCAGTGGGTCATGCCTGTAATCCCAGCACTTTGAGAGGCCTAGGTAGGCAGATCACTTGAGGTCAGGGGTTCGAGACCAACCTGGCCAACATAGTGAAACACTGTCTTTACTGGAAATACAAAAATTAGCCAGGTGTAGTGGCACATGCCTGTAATCTTAGCTACTCAGGAGGCTGAGGCATGAGAATCTCTTGAACCCAGAGGCTAAAGTTGCAGTCAGCTGAGATTGTGCCACCGGACTCCAGCCTGGGTGACCGAGTGAGTGAGAGTCCATCTCAAGAAAAAAGATAGTAAATGTAGCTCTGTAAAAACCAAAAATTTCTGTATGGCAAGAAGAACCACAGATAAAACCAAAGATAATGACAAGCTGGGGGTGAGGGTGGGGAGCTGAATTCTATCCTACAAAAAAGGGTTAATTTCCTTGACTAATGAAGAGTTTATACACATTAATAAGAAAATGACTGACAACTCAATGGAAAAGAAGTCAAATAATAAAAGTAGATACTTCACCAAAAATACTCACTTTTTCTATTGTACTGAAAAAGATGTTCAACGTTACTTGTAATAAGAAAAATGTGGTACCATTTTAAACTTAGCAAATCACTAACAACAAAAAAGCTATAACATTCTTTTGGTAAGGATATGGGAAAACAGTAATTTTCATATACAGCTGGTTAAAGTATAAATTGGTTCAATATTTTTTGGCAGACAATGTGGCTGTATCTATCATAATCTAAAATGTATATGTCATTGCCCTAGCAACTAAACTTCCAGGATTTACTTTGTAGATACACTTACAAATGTACTAAGTGTCATGTGTACATGTTTTCTTAAGAAGAAAAAACATGTCCTCAATAGGTACTGGTTAAATAGATGTGACACATACAGACAATGAAATGCTATGCAGTCATTAGAAATGAGAAGGAAGCTGGGCTTATGTGTCGATGTGAATTAATCTGCAAGATGATGTGAGAGAGAAGGGTACAGAGTTAAGTGTGCTATTATTTGTTGTTGTTGTTTTTAAAATATATGGGCATATGTATTTATAAGTGCATAGACTATCCCTGGAAGAGATTCTGGGGAGAGGAACTGGGTAGCTGAGAGACACACACGGGAAGGCAATTACTTTTCTTTATACCCCATGTGATACTTTTTGCATATTGTACCATGTGTATATCTGGTATGTTTAATGGCTATTTAAAATAGCTTTTAGTATTAACTCCCTTTTTTTTCCCTTCTGTTCACAAGGAGGAAATCTGGGCTCTTTCAAATTATATTCACACTGTTAGCACTTTCTTTTGTTCCCCTCATTATGTGCATAAATAAATGTCAAAAACATAAGCAATGGGAACGTAGGACAAATCACCTCCATTTTACACAATATAGTAAAACATCGTAATAGGTATATTTGGAAAATATCTGAAAAATGACACAGCAAATGTTAACGGTGCTTATCTCGAGTGGGGGTATTTTGGTTTTGAGCTTGGTATTTTCTGTCATGTTCAAAGTTGTTTATACGATAGTATATAACATATTTGTAATGATTTTTAAAAGTTTTTTTTTTTAACTATTTGCTACTCACCTGGTTCCTATCCCTGGCATTTGCATATCGAAACCTCTGGATGTAATAAAAGACGAGCCATGCGAGGGAAATGATCATCAGGACAATGAAGGAGATGGAGACAAACACAACCGAAGTGCGGCTCACATATTTCTGCAAGTTCCGGGTTCCGATGGTGATGTACATCGTCACAGTGATGTTTCTTTCCAGCAGGCTTACTATCTCCTTCCCTTTTGGCTCAGGAATCATTATGGCCACTATGTCTTCTACACCTGTGGTGAGAGGGGCAGGAAGGGGCAATAAAGGTTAGGGGATAAGATGGGGAGGATCCCAGTGAGATGTGTAGTAACCATAACACGCAATCAAAAAAGGACACTACCTTTGAGAATTCTGTGCCAGGCTATGAAGACCTAATAGTTAGAAACCAAGTTAAATTTTATCTTTGTCAGCAACCTAGCTTTCTTCCACCACTGTTTTATATGTGAAAAAAAAACCTAAAATGCATTCATGATTTTAGTACCAATGAAGTCATGATCAGGCTATGCTCTTTTCAACTCTCCAAAGCATTGACCACAGGTCGGGTAATGGTGGATCCTTCCCAACAAGCCCCGTTTACAATTCTATGTTGCATTCCACAGATCCCCTGAGGAAGGGGATGGGACTTTGCATTCCATGACAAAAGGATAAAATGTCCCGTATTATGTCACCTGAGAGCTCTGTTTCCCCCGTATAGACACTATGAATATTCAACTATATATTTCTGTATATTATTTCCAAGCAATTTTCTCCTATAGTGAGTACTCAAGCAATCAAAAAGGAGCATTTCTTAAATAGCTCTAATATGATTTGCCAGCATGAAATTATGGTGCCGGAACTATTTTCTGCTTATTTTACCTAATTCAATGGAAACATCATGTTTCCAATGAACCATGTACCAAGCAAAGGGAAGTGTGGTGCAATGTTTCCATTGAATCACAAATCACATACCAAGCAAAGAGAAGATGAAAGCAGTACAGAGAATTCCAGGATTGTTACACTTCCCCTCTTAAATACTCCCACCACAACAGCCCCAGTTATTGGACAGCTTGGAGCAAGAGTGGCGTTTTTTGGGGCCCACTTATATATATATATGTATATATGTCATTGCCTTTACACATCATGACATTGTGTGAAGTGAATCCTCTTAGTGGGGAGTTCTGGAGCCCCTAAGGGGTTCTTCAGTAATATCAAACCAGATTCAAATGAACTAACCCAGCATTGTCATCATGGCTGATACACAGAGGAAAATATTAATTGCATTAGGGTATGTTCAGGAATCACCCCAATTCAAATCCATGAAGAAAGATGCAAGATGATTAGGGTACAGAGATTTTTTTTTTGTGGGGGGGGGGACGGGATCTTGGAGTTATTTATGAAGCTTTGGATGTCCAGAAATGCACAAGCTTTACATTTTTTTTTTTTTTTTGAGATGCTTTCTTGCTCTGTTACCTCGCATCCACATGGAAATATCCCATTACCTGGAGTGAATACAAATTAAAGGGAAGAAATCTGCAACTGGGATGTTGTCAATTCAGAGCAAAATTAAACTCCAGTATAGCTCCTTAACACTGGCTGTATTCACATGTTGAGGTGAATTAGATGGAACTACCAGATTACATTTGCTCAGGCTGTTGCAAGTTTCTTAGAATGTTACTTAGGGCTTTCCTTTGACCTTGATCTCTATGCAGGTTTTCAATCTTAAATTCCTTGATGACATTTCACTTAGGCTGAACAAATACTTTAAAATTACATATTAAAGTGTCTGTGTATGCTACATCAATTACATGTTTAAAAGATTTCTAAAACGTTTGCAAATCCAATTATAAAATCATAAAGCCACAGAGTAGGTTTGTCTGTTATTTCTGGGAATAACTGACACTGGTGGCTCGATTTTCAACTCTGAAGAATTTACTGGCAATTCTGATGCGCCTTTTCCTTTTTACTTTGGTTAATGGCTGCAAGTGGTTTGAGGTTGTGTGGGGGATTAAGGCTGCTGGAAGGTTTTATCTCTAAAGAAACATGATCTTTGTATACTGTACCAATCTGGCCTAGTGGGCTCATCATGGTGCTGCAGCTATTTAGAGTTATGGAAGTAATGGCAGAATCATGATTTTTCATTTCATTTATTCCCTTATTTACATTCTTTTGGAATGTTTAATTAAAGTTCTAGAAGTACATTTTTTTTTCAGGATGGGATCATGGGGTTATTTATGAGGTTTTGTATGTTCAGAAATGCACAAGTTTTATATATGTATTAAAGGGAAGAAATTTAATATATACTGAATTAAAGGGAAGAAATTTAATATATATTTAATTCAATATATATTAAATTAAAGGGAAGAAATTCGAGACTGCATCTTGAACACACACATATATATGTATTTGAGATGCAGTCTTGCTTTGTTGCCCAGGTTGGAGTGCAGTGGCATGATCTTGACTCACTGCAACCTCTGTCTCCCAGGTTCAAACAATTCTTGTGTCTCTGCCTCCCAAGTAGCTGGAACCATAGGCATGCACCATCATGCCTGGCTAATCTTTGTATTTTTAGTAGAGACAGAGTTTCACCATATTTATGGCCAGGCTGGTCTCAAACTCCTGACCTCAAGTGATCCAACTGCCTTGGCCTCCCCAAGTGCTGGAATTATAGGCGTGAGCCACCATGCCCAGCCTTACATATTTTTTAGTAGTCAGATTTCACTAATATATTCCTTTATGGCTTCCAGTTTTGATATTCTGTTCAGAAACCTCTTTTCCACTCAAGATTATAGAAATAGTTATCTAAAATAGCTTCTCAAAACCTTACAGCTTTATTTTTTACATGTAAATCTTGGAACAACCTATGATTTAATAACAATATTTATTGAATTCTTATGATGTGATAAGCAGAAAGAAGGACGATTAGGATACAATTTCCCCCACAATTTCCCCCCCGCCTAAATTGTCAGATATGTTTGGGTCAATTTTGCACTTTTTTGCTCTTGTGAGGTTTACCTATCTTTTGCTGAACCTGTACCAGGCTGTTTTAGTTGTACAACTTTTAACATATGTACTATCTGGTAGCCTAACTCTTCCTTCACGATTTCCCCCCTACAATACTCCTATTATTTACTGATACTTAGAAAACTGGAGTCTAACAGAGTTGGCTTCTGGAACTGGGCAGCTTGTTTTAAACCCCAGTTCAGCATTTTAAAAATAGGCAACGAAATTTTGGATCTCCACAAAGCTTTAAACTACTTATCATCCATTTTCACGGACCTGAGAAAATACTTTCTCTTCCTGTAAGGTAAAGTATAATTAGCTATTTTAAAGCATTTATTTTAAACTTCAGTGCTTACGCTGCTTGCATGTGTTGTTGTGCCACTGCTGTACCCTCATGACATACAACATCCACTCAGAAAGACAAACAGTGCAAATGGCAGTGTGAAGGGCCTGGTTCATCTGGACTTCAACCTTATTCATTTTCAATATTCATAATACATTTCTAGAATTCATCATGTAAAAACAGATGGAATTCTGGGAGATTTATCTGGTGTGCTTTAGTCTATTGTGCATGGTAAAAAGCGATACTAGGGATATATATTTATCCTAATAGAAACAAGTCACTAAGAATTTAGGTATCAAGAGTGTCCAAAAAAATCATACATAGCAAAGTGGATTTAGATGAATTATCGTATTCTGATCAATGCACAAAATCCAAGGCAAAGTGCTCCTCCAGGATCTAAACTGTTCACCTGAGGTATGTGCACTGATATGAGTATCAAATTCCCTGATCTTTGTTTCGTTTTGGAATGTGTAGCTATAGTGTCAGGGAGAAGCCAGCAGGTATAGTAGGATATAACTGCCTTGCTTCTGTGGGTGTGTGTGAGGCAGGGAAGAAGAGAAATGGGTGGGGTTGGGGGAGTGGTGCAAGCCCAGCACAATGATCTCAGAGTTCAATGCTGCCTTAAGTAGCTACTACATATCTATGACATTCCAAGACTCAGGGAAGAGAAGTTAACAAATAGCTATTTGGTGTGGGAAAACCCACAAAGCTCCTGCTATTTGGGGAATTCTATTTACTACTACACAAAGTGCCTCTTTTTGCAAAATTGTATCAGCCTAGTATCTATTTTCCTCCCAAAGGCACTTTATACTTATGAGTGGTGAGAGGTTGCTATCATGTCATTATTGTGTGCTCTGGAAAAGCTCTACAGTCCAGGGAGAAAACATGTGACCAGGACACACATGACCTGGCTGCCAGACAACAGCAGGAGCATCCTGTATTTTTGGTTCTTCCTTTTCCCATGAGAGTGGTCCACTGCCAGGATCTAATTTAGTAAATGCAGATAAATAAGGAATCAAAACAGAAGTTCACAAGGCCAAAGAATGTTTAATAACCAGGAAAGCCTTTCCTTGTAAATTCAAGCCAGGTTGTTTAGACACTGTATTAACAAAATATCTAGAATACCATTTCACAAAGCCTGGAGTTCCATTCTTCCCTGGGACCCTGGAAGATGATGGCATCTCTCCCGGAGTTCATTTGATCAAAAGTCTTTTATCAACCTCCTGTATTCTTTTCTCTCCACTAATCTTTACTTCAGTGTCAGTCTCATTGTTGGCCTTCTAGAATTTAGGTGACAATAAAAACCCTTATACTGTCCCATTTGTAGATAGTTTCTATTTGTACACTTAATATCTACTTTTTCAAAAATAGTCCTTTCTTGATAATCATCTATCCTCAAGAGAGATAGTTATGAAATTATTTTAAAAACTGCAAACTACCACATAAATGTAAAGTATTACCATTTTCTGCATCAACAAGTATATTTTTAATAAACATACATGCAAAAATTCTAGATACGGCACTCACAAACAGAATCCAAGGATACAGTAAAAAAACCTTCATGACCAAGTTGGGTTTAGGAATGTGAAGATGATTGAATATTAGAAAATATATTAATATATTTTAGTACATTAACAAATTAAAGGAAGAAGGCATATAATTATCTTGCATAGCTAGTTGTCCTCCAATATTTGGCCTTTCTTCCTTCTACAGTATTAATGTTTTAGCTAGGCATAGGCTGTCCAGTAAAAAGGCTCCCCTGCAGCTGGATGTGGCTATGTGATTAGTATTTGGTCATCGTGGTATGAGTATAGATGATGCTTGTCTCTCCAGGAACTTATCCACAAAAGGACTGGGTATGTGCTATCCAGGTCCCTTCTCTCCCTTCCTTTTGACTTCAGATGGAGAGAG